TAATAACTTGATTGGAATTATAACCTTGAATTGACAGTTTGATACTTTGAAAATTTTGAGCCAGCCCTACCCCCAAGGGCTGTAGGGTGGGGCTCAAAGGAGTCAGTGTGCTAAAATTTCTTCATTTTCCTTGTTAAGAATCAGAGGTGCTAGTTTCAAATCCTTTTTAGTCTGAAATCTGTATGCTAGATATTGAGTAAGGTGGTTTTATTTTTTTTTGTCACTTTGAATAATATTTCTGTTCATGTTAAAAACAAAATCAACTCTCTGTATAAATATATCAGGTGACCGTTAAGGCCCATGGGCCTCTTGTTTGTAAGATAGCCCACACTTTCGACAAAGCGTTTATTTATATCCAGCTAAGGACAAACAAACGTTTAAATCAGTAGCCCCCGGATGATCATAGAGTTTAATCTCCTGAATGTCCTGGTCTGCCATATTGTCACGCACTGACTGAGCCATGCAGCATTTCTATTGAAACAAAAGTTCTGATTATTTGTCGGATGGACCCGCTAGCCAATCAGCGTCGTCGTTGTGTGACGTTCGGTCAAGTTGTTTTCCCCAAGAATGAACAACTCGCTGTCGGCGGTAATAACAGTATCTTCTTCTTCTTCTTTTTCTTCTTCTGGTTCTTCTAATCACAACTTGTCCGGGCCATTACTTTTAAAACGTTAAAGATATCTTGATGAAACTTTTGGTACGTATGCATCACCCACAGAAGGTGTGCAGTGCACTGAAATTAGGTCTCGTGCTTCACTATATACAGAGTTATGGCTCTTTGTTTAATTTTAATTCCGAAGTTTATCCGGAGCATAAGTTCCATGTTGTTTCACCTACGTTTACCAAACTTACCATATTTATGTATCTTGGGAAGGTGAAATCTCTCGTACTAAAATCAGGTTTTATGCCCCACTATATACAGAGTTATGGCCCTTTGTTTATTTCAATACCAAAGTTTGTCAACGGCATAACTTCCATGTTATTTCACCTACGGTGACCAAACTTGCTAAAGATTTAATGTATCTTAGGAAGTAGGAGTGTCGCATTCTAAATTCAGGTCTCGTGCCCCACTATATATTAAAAGAGATATTGCCCTTTGTTAATTTTTTGTACCGAAGTTTGTCTATTGGCTAATAAGGGAAGACATATGTTTTTGTTCACAAAAACAAAATTCTAATTAATTATTTTAAGAAAGAGTTCTTGATTAGCATGGTTATGGTAAACATGTTTTACTTATGTCATATCATGATATGTAGGTGTCAGAGATATAGAGAACATCTACCTGAGAAAGTAAAATTTGGGTCACAACAGACGCTTGGCCGATGTTCAGAGCCCCAAGTATAGACTCGTGTATAGATTTTCTGTTGGCCCTTTTTCTGTCATCTCTTACAGGAGAAGGAGGTCAGAATTGATAATGACATTACAATTAAACAATAAAATCAGACAATTTTAATAAGGTACAAATTAAACCAAGAGCATAATTGGAAAGATTTGGGAAAGGCTGGTGCACTAGAGGTTCTTTAAAAATTAAAGCAGTTTGCAAAAGCATGACAGCCAGTTTGTTAAGTAATTGTTTATTTTTTAAAGGCAATGCAATTTCAATGGCTGACACTGTTGGCAAGAGATATTCTATTGATCAAACTGACAATCAAATAAAGTCACATATCGCATTAACATCCATGTTTCAGAACACCACCAAATATGGTACAGAACAATTTTTCAGGCACTTACCGGTAGTCAGAATGTGCAAAAATGTAGTTCCTGAACAGTAGATCATTAATGATCAAGTACAACATGTGTGATAAAGTTATGATCTTGGATAAGTGTTCCACTTTGGACCCATGCATCATGCATGTAGATATGAAAGAAAGTGTTTTCATGCATATAAAAATATAATGTCACTGAAAGACTGATCATGTTGCCCGAAATGTCACTGAAAGACTGATCATGTTGTGTCCCTGCAGGCAGGGCGTAAGATTTGTACCTGTTGCCCCCATTGCATGATCATAAGAGGCGGCTAGATTTGGGATCTAATCTTTTCTCCTCTTTCTAAACAACTTTGTTCTTCCTAATGACCCCCTTGACAATGCCTCACTTTTGGCCTTTAGTTGAGTGTTCGCCCTTGTGAGAAAGGCTTTGGGTTCTGTCCCCTGGCTGTGACATACCAGAGTCTGTAAAAATGGTTGTTTCTACTCCTGCTTAACGTTCAGCAATTTAGGAGTGGAACGACTGGTTCGCCCGTTGTCAGTATAATGTGACCGAGTGGGGTGTCCTGTTGGGTGTCTTCGGCAGTATGTTTCAGTGAGGTAGCACTATAAAGTAGGCATCAGTTCCGCGCTATCACAAGGAGACAAACACAAAAATATCGCAGTCTCCCAAAACACACACGCATACACTACACGCATGCATCTTGCACACAGGGGAGGCCGTCCTTAAACAATCATATAGCTGTTGATAGGACGTTAAACATACTTAACCAAACCAAACTGATCATGTTGTTTTGTTTTAAACATTCAACAATTTGTGAGAGTATCTGACATTGTCATTCATCAAAAGGCAGAACCAATATAGTTGAATGAGATTGATTTAAGAGCTATTATTTGCATTGCTATCATTTTAGGAGATGTATATTTTGATAAAATTTCAGACTTTGAATTTAAAATTTGATTGAGCATGACATTTTTATGTGACAGGTCATTCTGTGAGGATCATAGACCAAGACAGACAGTATCCGTCAGTGACCGCCTGGCCTTCTATGGTACCGCTAACACAACATGTGCTATCTGTATGACGTCTGTAGAGACAAGGGCTTCCAACGAAACTCTGCGTGCTCCATGCTGTCGTAATTCCTGGTTCCATAGATCCTGTATTGTTGTTAGTATTTACATACATCAGCATTGATAATGGACAGCTTTTAATTTGCCAAATATCAGCAGAAATTAAAAGCTCCATAGTGTCTAGATCAAAGCAAAGGGTCAGTTTGGTCTTTGTAATGTTCTTCCTGGCCATAACTTCTGAACGACTTGACATCTTTTTTTAACAAAACTTCAATAACTGGACTGCATTTTGTGTTCAACTCTCCAGTCCATGACATAATTTCTGAAGGGCCATCTATGTTTCCCATTGCAGAATGCTTGATGTATTATTGTCTATGTACGGTAATTAGACATAAGGTCTTTGTTGTAAAATGTTTCAGCTGTAGGCAGCTAAGGTATTTGAATAAGAATGTGCTAATCATTATGTTTCATGTCATCAAATTCAAAGAACCCTAAGCATCATAAAATATGCCAGTGATTGAGTTTGTGCTGTTTTGTGTCCTCATGTTGCTGGAAGGTAACATTCTACGAATATTTGTTTCAGAAACATGCACTGACAGCAGGGCTATACTTCTTCAAGTGTCCTCTGTGTAACAACAAGGAGATATTCCAAGAGGAGATGCTCAAGTTTGGTGTCTACCTGCCTGACCAGTGAGTTACCTCATAATCAACCTGTAGAGCAAGACCTTTTTTGTCTTTCATATTAGTAACAGGGACAACTTGATAATCTTTTCTCATCAGTTGGATCATATAATCTGGTTGTCTTTTTAACCATCATCACCAGACGTTGAGCTGATCAATTCCACCATCGTTGTCCATCCTTACCATTTTTTGTTTGACGCTTTTTTTCACAAAGATCTTTCACAAGTTTGACATGTAAGTTCCCCATGGTCCTCAGTTAACATTGGGCATATTGAGTTTTGGGACTGATAAGAAAACAAAAATGGCAGACAATACCATTTCTCCAAATATATTGGAAGGATCTTTCTAAAATTTAACATTTATGTTCCTTATGATCATTAGTTCTGCATTTTGATTCTTGGGATTGGCCGAAAGACAGGTGGCCATCTGGTGACAATCTTGAAATTTGAGAGTTTAAGTTTGTTAGCACTATTTCTCAGAAAGTACCAGAGGGATCTTTCTTACATTTCAAATGTAGGTTCCAGTTGTTACATTTTAAGTAAACTGACATTGAACCTCTCTGTCAATGTCAAACATAGCAGTATGAACTTTTGATAAAAAGCTACCACAAAATGCACTTACTGTTTTAACCCTTAGGCTGCTACATTGATTTCTATGTAAAGGGACACCACTGCTGAATTGTTCGTTGTTGTCTCTAGTTTATATGAGCGTTTTCAATTCTAAAGTTGCTTCAGTATTTACCTGTACAGGTGGTAATAAAGATAAGAAAATGTGAAACTTTTAATTAATCGGATTTAAGCAAGAGGAAGATCATTTTAAAATTATTTTCGTCCGCAAATGTGATTGGCAGATGATAACAGAGATTATAAACTTCATTTTTGACACAAGACACTGAATATTTACACGGAGATTCTCCGGTAAAAAGGTCAGATATTTCGTCAAGAATTGCATGTGGTTTGCTACAGGTTTCAGGTCGCCATTCAATACATTTACTGTCACAGTCGGCATATAGATATATCTAAGCTACAGTCTAGTTTATGATTAAATCACCGATAAAAAGTTTGAATAAATAAATCGGCTCAAAACGTGTCAATGTTCAATTCGGCCTCACCTGCAGACGACATGTGTGCCTTGGTCCGCCGATATTTTCCTGTTTGCGTAGGGCACAAATCCGTTTATTGGAAAGTAACATATTATGTTACACCGAAGTATTTCCGCATCAACCATGCCAAACCCTTCAAAACCTTTATTATCATTGTAGGTGACGATGGAGTATAAATGTTTACCATCATATTCATCGCTTCAATCTACACGTCCGCCATTTTTATGACTTTTTTTGTCGATTTGAAATTCTCTCGCACACCTTTGGTTATTACTAGGGTACACTACCGTGAATATCGAAAGTAATGACAAAACAATCAATCAGAAGCCTTCTACTATACACGTTCGGGTTTGGTATAGCAACAACTCGACTTCACACTTCCTGGCTACCGATCAAAACCTACAGAACGAGAAACGACATACCCCCGTATGTCGTGCATAGCACTGACGGCCCGACTTTTCAAAACGACATATGTCGCGCGTAGCAGCCTAAGGGTTAATACATGACTCAATACAATAGAGAAAAGGAAAATTCAATCTTGCATAGAATCAATGAAGATTGTACAATGGTGGGTGCCAATGCAAGGTCCCTCTGGGTCTCTTGTTGAACGGGGTTCAGAAATTTAGAGTTGTCGTGGAAATTTTGCCCAAAAATGTATAAGCTTTGTTCTTAACACTTTCAAAATATGTCAGTCACATTGTTTAGGGTTGCACTTTAGCATATCTAACTTCCTGGCAAATAGCAACAAAAATGTTTTACCAAAATGTGTACATTTTGGTGCATATTTGAGGAGCAGATCTTTAAAAAATTGATGCAGATTTATCTTTAATCATACCAGGATCATGCTACAGAGGGGTGGCTTTAGGCATTTTCACATTTCTGATTTTTATTAGTATTTTGATTTACGGAACGGCACCCAAAATGTGTACATTTTTTCGCATTTCTGTTTGGAATATCTGAAGAACCCATTACAATTTGTTGCTCAAACTTGGATTTTGTATGGATTACATGATTTCCAAGAAATCATTCCTTATTTTTTTCCCTTGTGACCTTCAGAGATGCTGCTTGGGAGACGGAACCTAATGCATTTCGTGACCTGTTAGAGCGGTATCTTCATTGTGATGCTAGAGAGTGTCATTGTCCAAAGGGCAGGGACTACAATCAGGATGGCCAGTGAGTAGCTTTGTCACTTGTATCATATTTGTTTCATGGATAGAAATGCCAAGGTTGCATTGTTTGATTGTGCACAAAATAATTTATTCTGTGGGAGGGAGTTGATGGGATTTGAGTAAATATATTGAACCAGAAATATTATTATTAAACAAATTGTGTGTGGATCTTTTTGTTTGTTATCTGCTGACTGTTTGTGTTGACAGAAAGTGGGAGATCATCCTCTGTGATTGGTGTGGATCACAGGGATCACATGTAGGCTGTCACAGTCTGTCCAAGTGTGGCAGTGACAACATCTGTCCGGACTGTAAGGGGCTCGAGAAGAAAAGTAAGTTCAGCTCCGGTGGACAGGAATTTGTTGCCAGATGGTAATATTAGGGTTCGTTTTGCACTTTAAACAACCAGGTTATTATATAAGTAATTTTGTGTCATAACATATTGCACAGAAAAATGCTACCAAACTTGTAATGTAAGTGAGTGAATACCAGGATGTGAAGTGTGATTTCCTGACAGAAGTTCTGACTTTTGATCAGAGTCGAGGAATGGTTTCAAATTTTGCCAGTTATATGATCATCTGGAAATTGTAACTTGCTCTCAATTGGTCCCCATTTTAAATTCTGTTTGATTTAAGGTACTGGACATTGCATTTGGATTTCATTTTTTGCATTTAGTTATTTATCAGAAAAGGCTGCTTCATGGTTGTGCTTTTTGAATGAGTGAAAATATTTCATTTTAAGCTATCTTTGAAGTATATTTGCATATACCTGCCTTTGGCAGGGCATATTGTCCTTATCCTGTCTGTTAACATTAGACTTGTCTGCAGGTTCCTGAATAGGAACATCTTGTTAGGGTTGAATTATTAAACCGTTTAAGATACCTGCATGACCCACAAATGATGTCTTAGTGCACACATTAGGTCACATTGACCTCGAATTCAAAGGTCAAATAAATGAAACCTTTCAGTAAGAATTAGTCTGGTCCATAACTTTTAAACTATTTGAGGTATCTTGATAATCTTACAGAATATATCTGCATCAACTGCAGATGGTATGTAGTACACGGTCATTAGGTTGTTGTGACCTTCACCTCAAGGTCAAATAAGTGCACTTTTTTCAGTTATAACTTTAAGGGTACTGTGACTCCCGCATTATAATTTTAAGGCCTCAGTGGCCTCAAATTTGTATACAAGTAAGGGGATTTAAACGAAATGCAGTCTGAAGCATGCTTAGGGACAAAAGAATCAATTTTGGATATACTGAGTAGTGTGGGCCCCCTTCTTTGGTGCAGATGGGTGTGGCCCATTAGGCGAAATAGAGGAAAACATTTAAGATCCTTCTCCTTTTGTACTGATGAAGGGATTTTAACCAAACTTGTTCTAGAGCATCTTTGGGGAAAGTTCTTAACAGAGTATGTGCCACCCTATGTGTTTAGGTGCCCCGACTTCAAGTGTTTGGTATGACAATACCTTGAACAAGTTCACGTTTCGGGTAACTGTGTTTAAGGTCAAAGTCACAGTTACTATTTTTAGAAAAACTTTATCATCGCTCTATCAGCTTCATTATTTAACGAAATTTCATGAAACTTAATACAAGTGTTTGGTATGGCAATATACCTTCAACAGATGCAGTCGCTAGAGCAGCTACTGTTACATCATTGAACTTTCTATTCATTTCCTCATACATATGGCACACAATATGTGAATGTGAGGGGAGTTGTATCACTTGTGATGCCTTGTTTACTGTTTCTTGTACTCTTATCTTACATACATTCACACACTGTTTTAATTGTTTTGTTAGATTTTATAGGAGGGCCTACTGTTTTGATCAGTAGATTTGGGTCTTTGGACTTGTGAACAGGTTTGTTTGCTTGCCCAATGGACCAGTGCATAAGGATCTATTAAATATTTATATATACGGCCTACTCATTTACAACTTGATATCAAATTAACACAATTTTGTCAAGAAAACAGATCAATTTCTGTTGAGAGACCCTTAGATATTCATAAATGCTTTTCCTAAACATTTTCTTCAGGTTGGTAAGTATGGATTATGAGAAGTTCTTTTTACGCAACCAATAAAAAAATTCATGTGATGTTTCGATGACTAGTACGATATATACACTGTCATCTTCATCAGACAAATGACCAGCGAAGCGTATGCACACAAAGGTGTAAAATGTGTGCGAGTTGTCCACAAAATCGATGTCGATTTCCCAGGTGACGGGGGTTTTGAAATCAACAAAATTACCAACAAGTAACATGACGAAAGAAGAACGGGTCGCACTCCAAACATTAGGCAGAGACAAATCCATTACCATACTACCAGCTGACAAGGGGAAGGCAACAGTTGTCATGGACACCGAAGATTAAGAGGCCAAGGTCACAACAATGCTACAGGACAACAAGACATATGAACAGCTGCAGACCAATCCAACCCAAAAGTTTAAAAGGCGTCTCATAGCCCTCCTATCAAAATTAAAACAAGAGAGCAAGATTACCGAAGGCCAATACAGATATCTGTATCCCACAGCAGAGAACACTCCTAGAATGTACTGTACAACCGAGATCCACAAGCAGGGAAACCCACTGAGGCCTATTGTGGACTACACTGGATCCATAGGTTACAATGTTTCCAGATCATTAGCAGACATTCGTGGACCGCTAGTGGGTAAATCGAAACACCATGTAAATAATTTGAAACATCTAACGGAAGCTATGTCTACAATCATGATTCAGGAAGACGAAGAATTTATTTCACATGATGTTGTCTCCGTCTTTACCAACACATCCATTGACGACGCACTTAAAATCATTCGGAAATGCTCAGAATTAGACAGATCCTGGCGCAAAAACACAAACCTCCAGATTCAGGACATCATGGATTTGCTGGAATTTGTGCTGACAACAACTTATTTTACTTTTCGAAACAATATCTATCAACAACGCTTCAGCACTGCTATGGGTTGTCCAGTGCCTCCCATTGTTACCAATTTGTTCATTGAACATCTGGAGCAAGAAGCAATAGCCACGTATCCCACAGAATGCAAGCTTAGCTTATGGAAACGATATGTTGACGGCATACTCGAGATAATCAAGAAGGGTCACAGAAGGATTTGACCACCCATATCAACACTATAGATGCCACTAACAACATCAAATTTACATGTGAGGAAGAAACCAACGGCACAATGCCCTTCCTAGACACTTGACTGGTAAAGAAAGAAGACGGAACCGTAAAGGTATTGGTCTATAGAAAAAAGGCCCATGCGGACAAATACCTGAACTTCAAATCTCACCATCCTTTGCACCAGAAATTAGGCGTCATACGCACATTGCTCAACAGATGTAATACAATAGTCACAGAACAACAGGACAAAACACGAGAGCAGAATCACATCGCTAGGGCAATGAGAACATGTGCATATCCGGAATGGGCCGTAAAATGGGTACAAAAACAGTGTCAAAGTAAGGGGAAGAACAAGAAAAAGGCCAATCAAGGATAAGAACAAAACCAAAGGTCAAGTGGTCATCCCGTATATAAAGGATATATCCGAAACCATCCGGAGGATATACCGTGGTCATGGCATAGCATGCGCAACCGCCATGAAACCCCACTAGACACTTTATAATATCCTAGTACACCCTTAGGATAAAACACCTAAAGAAAATGTCCCAGAATGCGTATACAAAATTGGATGCAAAAACTGTGACGCATCGTATATTGGAGAGACTGGAAGACAATTTGGGGTTTGCCTTGGTGAACACCGGAAAGATTCACCAGATCAGAAAAGAAGCAGTCGGAGTCCAAAATAAATAAATCGGCAATCACAGACCATGCCACACAGAAAAATCATGTGATTAACTGGGACAACTCCAAAGTTTTGGACAGAGAGAGCAATTTGTGCTAGCGACAGATGAAGGAAACCATCTGGATACGCCGCAGTGGGCCAGTTCTAAATCGAGACAAGGGGGCTCAAAGACTCTCTCATATCTTTGACCAAGTATTAAACAAAGCATAGCTGAATCGAGTCATTTCGGTACATGATATAACAATTATTGTACATACGCTTACAGCGTAGCCGAAATCGACATCGATTTTGTGGACAACTCTATACACATTTTACACATTTGTGTGCATACGCTTCACATGTCATTTGTCTGATGAAGGTGACCGTGTACCAGTCATCGAAACGTCACATGGAAAATTGTATTGGTCGTGTAAAAAGAGCTTCTCATAATCCATAAATGCTTTTACATGAACTTGAAGAATCGAAATGTACATTTGCAAACTGTTATTTGATGAAAAATAGCTGTCTCAATTTGCTGGTGAACTTATGTTGAGTCAGTTAATCATTCTAATGTTCATTGTACACTTACATGTTGTTTCACTGCAATGACGATAATCGTGAAAGTAAATATACATGTTCATAGAAAATGAAACTTGTTTTTTCCATGTATTACAACATGATCATTTGAGTCCAAATATTTCAACATTTTTGTAAAGATTTGGTTTCACACCTGTTATAGACATGAAACTATTTCTGAATTTACGCCAGGTATTGATACATGGCAAGCAAATGTGATGTTAACTTTTCAATTCTTCTTGCAGGATGTAAAGGAAAGAAGAAAACTTTGCCAAAAAACAAATCTCCGGTTGCAAGTAAAAGTGTTAAGGCAGACTTGGACAGTAAATCTAAGAGTGAATACCCTGGCAAATCTGATATACTTGTAAAGAAAGGTCTCCCCTCAAGATGCTCCACACTCTCTACCCCGCCCCCCTCCAGTAGCTTGTCGCCAGGCACAGTGCTGCGTCTGTCATACGAGGAGACAGATGATGATGTTAATGTAGTAGACTCCATAGACAACCATCCCTCAACCTCCAAGGAATATGATGGAAGTGTACCATCACAGATCCAACAGGGAAAGCGTAAGAAAACTATGAAAAACACCACGTCAAAGCGACAAAAGTTATCTGAAGATGACGTGTCTAATGTGTATGAAAGTTCAGAAAGAATGTCGCCAGTCAAGCCACAACCGACAGCTACAATCACCAGTCCTGAAATAAGACAAGTATCTCCTGTGAAAAGTTGTGTTAGACAGTCAGCCCTTAATATACAAGCAAAGAGAGCTCGCAGTGGCGGCAAAAGAACAAGATCAGTGGGGCTAACTCAAGCTGATACGTTTAGACTGGAAAGGATGAAGACAGACCCAAATAAAGTAATAAAGAGATCAAGATCAAGTTGTGCAAGTTCTCCTAAGAAAAGATATTCTAATAAAAACCCATGGAGTGATTGTAAAGGCCTATTTTCTAGAAAAAGGAAGCATGCTGCAAAGAAAAAACTAGCGTTAAGAAAGTTAGGTATAGCAGAGGAATTGAATGCAAGCCGTGGTATTAGTTGTATAAGTGAGCCGCCTACACAGTATACAGACAGTAAAGGAACATCACGTTATAAAGATGGCAAAGGACGGTTTTTACCAATTCGCGATGGTTCAGCAAAGAAAAGTCACTGTGCAACTAAACATGATATCTTGGAAGAATCTAGCACAAGCAGTTGTGTTGAAGATACTGGAACATCTGCTGAAGATAGCCCAGTCAAAGTCAATATCACAGCAAAAAAGAAGGGGCTTCTCAGGGCCTTATTGACAAGTGGGACATATTATGAGTCAGGATGTGAACAGAGTCAAAGCAGGAGCTCAAGTCTGGTGCAACAAAGTGCACAAACTAAATTAAAAAGTCAATCCAGTGAAGAGATTCCCAAAATATCCAAGAAGGCTAAGTGCAAAAAAAAATCAAAATTGGGTATTTCTCCAGGCCAGATGTCGATCACGAACTGGTTGACTGGAATGAATAGGCCTAAGGGAGAAGGCCCACAAACAATTCTTGGAACAGAGAAAGGAGATATGGAAAATGACATAAATTTCCTCAATCAGACAGAGTCAGGAAACAATGACGATGAGGAGAAAAGCCTGATCATCAAATACAAAGGTAAGAAGTTCGTGTTCAAGAAAGAAAACGAAAGCAAGTCAGAAAAAGCAGAGTCTGTAAATAATTGGACCAAATCGGAAGTAGTAAGTAACGACACCAGTCCTGCTCAGAGTACAAGACAGGCTCTGAGTGAGAAAGTTGATCCTGCTATTCACTCCATGCTCCAGAATAGCAGACCTATTGGCTCAAGCCCTGCTCTCAGTACAAGGCAGGCACTCATGGAAAGGAGGCATGGTAGTGTGGAAAATAGGAGGAAGAGGATGCAAACACCTAAAACCTTTCCTCGTAGAAAATACAAAAAGATTGAGCCAAGTGATTCATCTGATCTATCGGATGTGTGTGTGTATGGGACCCCTCGCAGGAGTGTAAGGTGCTCCCTTAACACCAAATTCCAGGACAATTTCAGTAGTATATGCGAGACAGATGAAAAGAGTGAACCATGTTACGATTCATCATCGTCTAGCTCTTCAACCTCATTATCGTCTACCTCTGACATTAGATTGCTGTATTTTGAGAGTGATGATGATGAGGAGGATCCAGAGAACACATCTGTGAAGTGTGAACCAGAAGAGGACTCCTCTCAGTGCCTTATTGTGGACCTAGAGGAAGAGGAGAAGATTAGGGTCATAAAAGAAGGACACGATTCTTCTATCATTGAGCTGTCCGAGACATCAGAACAGACGCTAGAGGTAATGGAGTCGGACAGCACTGGCACAGACGACCCCAGCACTAGTACCTACATTATACAGTCCTTTGGGGGCAACCATGGCTTCCAGCAACTTAGCATATCTGTACCAAGTGTTTAATGTAGTGCTTCTTAATACTTAGTCTTGGTACTATGTTATTTGTATTGAGGGTAATGTACTAAATCTGTACTTGTGTAATCATGTCATAGATTTCCCCTGTACCTCTGGTGTTGGATAGAGCTTTCTTCCACCATTCATAAAATTATCTCCTGTTAAACCTGTTCAACATTCTTCTTTCACTCCCTAGGACAAAAAGTGAAAAGAAACAATTATGACGTCCCAGAAGCAATAAGATATGACATCACATCTGCCAATGGGAAAGGTCATGTTCAAATCAGGAATAAAAAAAAAAGATTACAAAACATTTTGTTTTCAGACAGAGTTTTGAAATGATGGGAGAAAGGTAATTATCCCCTGTCTTGAGGGTGTAACAGAGAATCTCCAACCCTCAGGATGATTACTTGGTTTTGTAACCTTTGGCAGGACCTCGAGTTAAACAACCAAATGAATCACTCCTTTGAGTTGGAGATGATCCCCTCTCGGCCGAGCTTCAGGTTGGAGATTTCTCTGTATTGAAATTAAAGCCCTCAGGGTAGGGAATGATTTTATTAGTCACATGTATGACTGAAGTAATGTAGGTGTATTCTCTATGGGTGCATGGTCTTAAGTTTTTTTATGTCACATTTAATTGTTGGATGTCATACTGTAAATGTACATATTTTAGCGGTAGTCTTATTTTAGCGCCTTCGTGCTTTAAATATTGCGCAAAAATATGATTATTATTTGAAGTTCATGCATATTGTTCTCTATTGCATCTTTTGCAGGTGCACTGATTCATCAATGCGTCAATCTGCTAAAATTTTATAGCGCTAAAATTTGTCCATAGACAATATTGATTTGCCACTGCAGACATCATGTCTATCATAGATGTTATATCACTCTTTTTAAGACTTATGGCCCTTGATGTTTTATCCATCCATGTGCTGACACATTTTTGTCCGCACTGCTGCAAATGTACTTCATGAATTTTAGGACTTTGCACACATCTTGCCTATTGGTGAATATCCAATGATTAATAATTAAAATGGGTCTAGTTTTCACTGGAAAACCTAATCTTGATTTGAGACACGATTTGAGCATTTTGGTTCATACCTTTTGAGGTATGATGTGAGAAAGTGCCTGCCGTCTTACAAAGCTCTATCCTACACCATCAGGTATTCATTACTGCCAATGCCATTATCTTGCAGGAAGGTTGGCATATATAATAGTCCATTACTTTGAAAGTATTGCTTTTTAGCTCACCTGCAATTTTTCCTTTAAAACTCTACAAGTCATGAACAGCTTAGTGGATTTTGTTAAAATTTGGCCTGGAGTATCCTTGGGCAAAGGGGATTCAATTTTTCCTGGTCTTTATGTGATGGATTTTACTGTAGTTTGAATGCCTATAAATCTATATAGAATGCTATTCTGCTTCATTGTGAATATCTTTTGTAACTTATAAATACAGTACTTTCACACTAAATCCTGCTTTTGTATATGTCCTTCATGTGTTGCAATGATGTTAATCCCTAATACAGATTCTATCCTTTGTATCAAAGTAAGTGTCTGTGATTGTACATGGTAAACAGCACAGTGCTAGTGTAAAACCTGTGTATATAAGGACTGATACTAGATCTGATTGATGTGTATATTGTCACTTTTTCTCGGTTAATTGGGGCAAAATGTGGGTGCCCTATAGTAATCATGGTGTCTGTCTGTCAGCACTTTAGTTTCTGGAGATTATCTCATGATCCAGATGGTCAAAATTTCTGAAATTTCACATAGTGATACACTGTGATGTGCAGATGTGCAATAGGGGTTTGAAAAGTTTCTAAGGTCAAGGTCACTGTTACTAAAAATAGAATTGGAAATATATATTGTCCAAAATACCTATAAGAAAGCCAAATTTTCTGAAATTTCTTATGATGATACATTGTGATTATATGCAGATGACAGTCTGGTGTTATTTATCTTATGTAACGATGTCAAAGTGAGAGGCCACAATTTCAAAAGTTATCTACCAGTACATGTATAAATCAAAGTGAGAGGATCCAATTTCAAAGTTATCTATCAGTACATGTATAAATCAAAGTGAGAGGATCCAATTTCAAAGTTATCTACCAGTACATGTATAAGTCAAAGTGAGAGGATCCAATTTCAAAGTTCAATGTATAAGAGATGTTTGATAACCATATAAAGATGTTGCTGGTGTTCTAGTCAGTGGGCAGTGGGTTTTTTTTATCAATTTATACATCTTATTTTATTTGCCAATGTGAATAATGTTCTTTCATAATGTATGCAATTATTTAGTTTGAAATTAACTATATGTACAATGTACTATAATACTGATATTTTTACTATTGTATAGAAAAATCTATATAGCATGAAGTACTGTTATTTCTGTAATATTTGTTATTGCATAGTTTCAAACATTTTACACTACCACTTATTATTGGTTGGGCATTAATGGTATTTTATGGCCATTTCTTGGGAGCTTTTAATAGCAGCTTATAATTGGTACTCAGAAAACTAGTTAGATCCATTCTGTCACAAACCCCATTCTCTGTAAAGAGTTGTTTTTGAACATGAATTATGTCTTCATTAAAGAAGGCTTCACAGTAATATGTGAATAAACAGTTCTTTTGTTGTGTACATAGAAATCTGTGTACCGAGTTTTGTGAATGGCATAGCATATATATCATATACAGTGTAGTAAAAAATATTACACCTGATGACACTTCCAGGTAATAATCTACCAGTAACTTAGTAACCTTTTTACAATAGGTGATCACCCTGTAGATCTTTATTGTTTTGAAGATATCACATTTAACATTGAACTTATTGGCATGTCAATCTGGGGAGATCATCTCCAGCTACCATTCACAGAATAGTGTCCCCCTCAGGTGGAGATTCCACCATCAGATCCTCGCAGTAGATGACATATTACTGAAGTCAATATGCTGGTAACACTGTAAATCTGATTTTTGTATATACATGTATCATGTTTTGAATGCCCCTGTACATAGTTGCTTGATGTAAAGATAATAATTATATATATAAATGAACTGTATTTTGATCATATTAGTGGGTTTAAAGCTTTGTTTTTGTAAAATCATTGCTCCTCATCTACACATTTTTATAGTATACCCAGACAAAAACCAATTAAGTGATTTTTTTTTAAGACTTTAAGAGGGAAATTTTCGAAATTGAATACAGTTATTGAAACTAACTCATTAATAAATGAAATTATGATACTTTTTAAACAAATCTCAATATTTTATAATTGAAAGTTTTATCATAATGATGTGTACTGAAATAAAATGTAAACAAAACTATAATGAGGAGTGTTGAATGTTTGTCTTTATCATAATGTAAATCACATGTCAATAAATGTGATGTGGTGGCCTCCCACTTACATTTTTTTCATGTAAACAACTTCTTCAGAATGATGATGCCAAAGTCATATTTGACATGAAGCTAACAGATGAAGGACTTCAAGTTAATGCAGATTAATCCACTTTGTATGATACATCAATCAGATATGAAATTAAAGAATACTGAACAGCTTCATTTTAATGACCTGTAACTTTCTTGGCTGAAAGGCTGAAGATATTTTTTTCTAGATTATGACCTGGACCCTTATCTCTAAAACCATAAGTTATAGATTTTTCATATATTATCTGTACCTTGGTGAAAGGATTTCTGGTTTGTTTAAATTAAATACCTTGAAGGTCTAAGAGATCGAATGTGATCAAATCTTATATATATGACCTTTAGCTTGCTGGGAGTTGATAACTGTTGGTTTAGATTGACAGGATTGATCTACCTTCTAAGTTCTGAGGTAGAAAATATTTACCATCTGATGGACAACAAACCTGAAGTGTTTGAATTTAAAGGTTCATTAAAACATGCCATCAATATTTCTCGGCGCTATCTGTAAATATTTCACATTTTCAGGTTTGTTCAAACAGTGGAAAGATTCAGAGCTTTTACTGAAGATCAAGAAACCATGAAGTAAAGCTATTTGAACTGTTACTAAGATTAATGGGCTATGGTGATATGTTTTAGCAAAACTAAGTGCCAATGTGATGGCCGTAGGTGTTTTGGTTCTTCAGCAGAAGTCACTTAAAGACGAAAGTTGACCGATGTATGAACGAATGCAGCGCTACATTATAATCTCCCAGGCACTTTTTGCCAGTGAGCAAAAGTAACTTTAAACGACTTGCAGCAGAACCATTACACATAGAATCGTGGTTTGGGACTTGAATTGGTTGAAATGAATGGCATTGATCAATTTTGAAGGTCACTGGATCGAACAAATGATTTCTGTAGATTTGACCGATAATTTGTTAGGATGCACGGTGATCAAGTGCTTTCTAATCTATTATCTTGACCAAGACTAGGCAAGAGGTCGTCTATCTACCTTTTTATGCCATACCGTGGTGTCCGTCATCCGTACGTCAACAATTTCTTCAAACGACTTCTTCTTCTTAACCACTGATTGGAATTCAACTGAATTTGACTGGAAGCATCCCTAGTTGGTGGGGATTCAAAATTGTACAAAAGGGGGCAATTTGGCTATAATGCTTTAAGATACTTCTCTAGAAATCAGTGATGGATATCAACCATATTTGACTGGAAGCATCCCTAGGTGAAAGTGATTCAAAATTGTACAAATGGTGGGGCTGAGGGGAGGGGCCAAAAGTGGCCACTTTGGCTATATTGCTTTAAACGACTTCTTCTGTTAAACTATGCCATGGATATCAATCATATTTGGTCGGAAGCATTCGTGGGGGGTACGGATCCAATATCGTACAAATGTTGGGGCTGACCCCCCGGGCTAGGGGGTGGGGCCAAAAAAAGTGTATTACTTCGACATTTTTGAGATCCCCACAGTATAACCATTTTTATGCCCCCGCCATAAAATGGGGGGCATATAGTGTTACCCATGCCCGTCCCGTCCCGATTCAATGTAAACACTTAGCAACTTCATCCTTTGACAGATTTTGGTAAAACTTTATACAAAGGTCAAGTATGAGTATACTTTGGACATCGTTGTATTTCAGGGATCCAAGGTCAAGGCCAAGGTCACACTTGCTATATATAGAAAATCAACTGATTCAATTTAAACACTTAGCAACTTCATTCAATATGTTATGGAGATGGTAATAACATACAGAACAAACATGAATATTAAAAGCAACTTTAAGTGTAGTACCTTGTGTGTGTGCATGTTTCAGGGTATCAAGATCAAAGTGGTTGTAACTTTTTATAGAACACTGAAACTAATTTCACATGGCAGCGGGGCATTTATGTCTTACAGACATTTTCTAGTTATACAATTGCTGAGTATAAAGAGAAGAATGCACATTTGCTTCTATGATGGCCCTTGAGATCCCCACCGTATAACCATTTTGAAACAGTTGAGATCCCCTCCCCAAAACTATACATACAAATGCTGGGCATAAAGAGACGAATGCAGTCATGATATTAGAATAGACAATGGGGTCTGACCGAACCTCTAGGGACCTAGATTCTTAGTCACAGCTTGGAAACAGTTGAGAGCCCCACCCTATAACCATATATACAATTGCTGAGTATAAATAAATGAATGCACATATGCTTCCAGGATGGCCTTGAGCACTGCCCCACCTTTGCAGACTTAACCCTTGGGTCATAACTTTGAAACGGTTGAGATCCACACCCCAAAAATATAAATATAAATGCTGGGCAAAAAGAGATGAATGCAGTCATGATATTATAATTGATCCTGGGGTCTGGCCATAACCCTAGGGACATAGTTTTAAGTCACAGCTTGGAAACAGTTGAGATCCCCACCCCATTACCATACATTAATTAAATTGCTGGGCATGACAAATCTAATACAGATATGCTACAAGGATTGGCCTTAGGGTCTGGCATATTCCCTTGGATCTCATTTGGAGAATATTTTGCCATTATTGCTTAGATGTCCAGGTGAGCGATACAGGCCCTCTGGGCCTCTTGTCTATTCCGCTTTGACGTATTAACTACAGAAACATTGTTACCATTTCTGTTCAGGCCAATTGTATGTATTGATTTGTTCCGATATCAACTTTCTAGATACAGTAGTTATGTATAATAAGTTGTTTCGCACAGCACCAAGGCCACTTTTACACATCGGGATCCTTGTCCCGATCCTTACTCGTTACTGAGAATGCTCTGATGAAATGAGTTAATACTTGTGATATATGCATAATATTTTCATGTGAAACACATACGAGATACATTAATGTGTTCGCATTTAATTGTCTAAAGGTTACATTTACATATGAATGAGAAGTTCATTACGTTGCACCACGTTTTAACGCGGTAAAGAACACGTTAATTCCATACAGAACACCGTTAACTAGTAACAGACTAGATTGGACCGTATCGCACGGAGGGTGGTTTGGACTTTCGAGTTTACAGGATTAGCTACATCGATCGATAATTCGAATAATTTCTTGAATATACTACAGATAAACCATGGACTCCCGATCCCATTTTTCAAGGATTGGGGTCTGCCGATTATTTCCTTGTTTCATATCGACAATATCAGAGCAGCTAGGATCTTGTCCTGGTCAGAGACTAGTACAAGTTTCCTCTGGTCCCGACACCTTACTTAAACAGTCTAAGTCTGGTGTCGGGGGCCAGAGGAAACTCGGGCTATAGTCAAAAACGTATACTACTGGCTTTATATGTCTTTGCTCTGGTTACATCAAGGCGACAAAAGCAATAGCGTCATATTTAGGCGTTCACGAATTGTAAAACCGGGACCAAACGCCTGTGTCATTTTAGTTTAGTTTTGGTATTTTTCAAATAGCATTGCTACATGGTTTGTGGTAGAACCAAACATTAACCGGGCAAAGACGCCCCAACCGAGTTCCACATGTAGCGAGTTCCAACATTTGTGAACGATGCAACGCCAATGGCGTCTTATAGGAGCAACAAAGTCTTCAACTCGTCAATTGTATGGACTTTATTTAAACGTTATTTGTACAAAATAAATCGTGGATGATATAAATTAACGAAGTGTCCTCAAATGGACCTTTGCATTGTCCTCAAAGCATGCAAACCTTTCAAAACTATATATCAATATATAATCATTACTTAAAGAATTCCTTGTAGAAGAGTGGTTCTCAATAGATTAATGATTTGTTAAGTAAAATTCTGTAAAAAAATGACACGTTCTGCAGATCAACCCATTTACATTACTTGTGTACATATGAATTTACATATATAATGGGTATAATGCTACTATTAGCCTAAAAGGAAAATTAATGAAATCCATGCAGTTTTCTAGCTATCATGAATGACATTATATGAACCACGAAATTATGCTCAAACTATAAAAAGGTTGATGGTCGTGAAGCTATTGTTTTTTTCCGACATGGTACAAATGTATGTATATACCTGTTCTTGTTTTACAAACATCTGACAGCCTGGATATGAAGAATGGCCATAGATACCTGCAAAGTGTAATTTACTTGTAATTGACTAGATTGACAATTGAAGTGATATCTTGGTAAAAACTTAATTCAAAATTTTAAGAACCACTTTACCACTTCTAGCATTCACAGAAAACGTATCACTCCAATGCCCTCTGTGGCATCCACACAGTATGTCACTGACATTTCTGGCATCCACAACAAATATGTTATTCCAGTGCCATTTTGTGGCATATGTAAAACGTACCATTCCAATGCAATATGTGCTATTGACAAATGTGCGGAGCAAGTCGCTCCAATATCATCAGTGACATACACACTTCGATGCCAACAGTGACATACACACCCCGATGCCGTCAGTGACATACACACCCCGATGCCATCAGTGACATACACACTTCGATGACTTCACTGGCATACACACTCCGATGACTTCACTGGCATACACGCTCCGATGCCGTCAGTGACATACACACTCCAATGCCGTCAGTGACATACACACTGCAATGCCGTCAGTGACATACACACTCCGATCCAGTCAGTGACATACACACCCCGATGCCGTCATTGATATACACACTTCGATGCCGTCAGTGACATACACACTTCGATGCCGTCAGTGACATACACATTTCGATGCCGTCAGTGACATACACACTCCGATACATACACACTTCGATGCCAACAGTGACATACACCCCCCGATGCCGTCAGTGACATTCACACCCCGATGCCATCAGAGGCATACACCCTCCGATGCCGTCAGTGACATACACACTTCGATGTCGTCAGTGACATACACACTCCGATGCCGTCAGTGACATACACTCCCCGATGCCGTCAGTGACATACACACTCCGATACCGTCAGTGACATACACACCCCGATGCCGTCAGTGACATCCACACTCCGATGCCGTCATTGACATACACACTCCGATGCCGTCAGTGACATCCACACTCCGATGCCGTCAGTGACATACACGCTCCGATGCCGTCAGTGACATACACACTCGGATGCCGTCAGTGACATACACACTCCGATGCCGTCAGTGACATACACACCCCGATGCCATCAGAGGCATACACACTCCAATGCCGTCAGTGACATACACACTCCAATGCCGTCAGTGACATACACACTCCGATGCAGTCAGTGACATACACACCCCGATGCCGTCATTGACATACACACTTCGATGCCGTCAGTGACATACACATTTCGATGCCGTCAGTGACATACACACTCCGATGCCGTCAGTGACATACACACTCCGATGCCGTCAGTGGCATACACACCACGAAACCATCAGTGGCATACACACTCCGATGCCGTCAGTGGCATACACACCACGAAGCCATCAGTGGCATACACACTCCGATGCCGTCAGTGGCATACACACTCCGATGCCATCAGTGGCATACACACTCCGATGCCGTCAGTGGCATACACACTCCGATGCCGTCAGTGGCATACACACCACGAAACCATCAGTGGCATACACACTCCGATGCCGTCAGTGGCATACACACTCCGATGACGTCAGTGGCATACACACTCCGATGACGTCAGTGGCATACACACTCCGATGCCAACAGCAACATTCACACCCCGATGCCATCTGAGGCACACACACTCCGATGCCTTCAGTGGCATACACACTCCGATGCCATCAGTGGCATACACACTCCGATGCCGTCAGTGGCATACACACTCCGATGCCATCAGTGGCATACACACTCCGATGCCGTCAGTGGCATACACACTCCGATGCCATCAGTGGCATACACACTCCGATGCCGTCAGTGGCATACACACTCCGATGCCATCAGTGGCATACACACTCCGATGCCGTCAGTGGCATACACACTCCGATGCCGTCAGTGGCATACACACCACGAAACCATCAGTGGCATACACACTCCGATGCCGTCAGTGGCATACACACTCCGATGACGTCAGTGGCATACACACTTCGATGCCATCAGTGGCATACACACTCCGATGACTTCAGTGGCATACACACTCCGATGCCATCAGTGGCATACACACTCCGATGCCGTCAGTGGCATACACACTCCGATGCCATCAGTGGCATACACACTCCGATGCCGTCAGTGGCATACACACTCCGATGCCATCAGTGGCATACACACTCCGATGCCGTCAGTGGCATACACACTCCGATGCCATCAGTGGCATACACACTCCGATGCCGTCAGTGGCATACACACTCCGATGCCGTCAGTGGCATACACACCACGAAACCATCAGTGGCATACACACTCCGATGCCGTCAGTGGCATACACACTCCGATGACGTCAGTGGCATACACACTCCGATGACGTCAGTGGCATACACACTCCGATGCCAACAGCAACATTCACACCCCGATGTCATCTGAGGCACACACACTCCGATGCCGTCAGTGGCAAACACACTCCGATGCCATCAGTGGCATACACACTCCAATGCCGTCAGTGGCATACACACCACGAAACCATCAGTGGCATACACACTCCGATGCCGTCAGTGGCATACACACTCCGATGACGTCAGTGGCATACACACTTCGATGCCATCAGTGGCATACACACTCCGATGCCTTCAGTGGCATACACACTCCGATGCCATCAGTGGCATACACACTCCGATGCCGTCAGTGGCATACACACTCCGATGCCATCAGTGGCATACACACTCCGATGCCGTCAGTGGCATACACACCACGAAACCATCAGTGGCATACACACTCCGATGCCGTCAGTGGCATACACACTCCGATGACGTCAGTGGCATACACACTCCGATGACGTCAGTGGCATACACACTCCGATGCCAACAGCAACATTCACACCCCGATGTCATCTGAGGCACACACACTCCGATGCCGTCAGTGGCAAACACACTCCGATGCCATCAGTGGCATACACACTCCAATGCCGTCAGTGGCATACACACCACGAAACCATCAGTGGCATACACACTCCGATGCCGTCAGTGGCATACACACTCCGATGACGTCAGTGGCATACACACTTCGATGCCATCAGTGGCATACACACTCCGATGACTTCAGTGGCATACACACTCCGATGCCATCAGTGGCATACACACTCCGATGCCGTCAGTGGCATACACACTCCGATGCCATCAGTGGCATACACACTCCGATGACTTCACTGGCATACACACTCCGATGCCGTCAGTGGCATACACACTCCGATGCCATCAGCGGCATACACACTCCGATGACTTCAGTGGCATTTACACCCCGATGCCATCAGAGGCATACACACCAGAGTATTTGATGAGACACGTATATCTGTATGGTAGTCAGTCATTCGGTAGTATCAGTACGGGAGCCACGGTTAGTGAGGTAATTACGAATGTGTTGATGAATTTATGAGTAGATGATGGTATAATTATATATATTATCTATAATGGCCGGCATCTATTGACATACAGTGAGATCAGCAGTCCAGCCGCTGATTTAGAGACATAAGGCATACCATTCAAACATGCAGGAATTCCTCAAGTCTTAGTTATTATTCATTCTTTCTTTCAAAAAATAAATTAAAATTCTTGTGCAAGTACTGTTGACCTACCGTTTGTTTTTTACTCGGTATCTGGTATACTTAAATCCCATGGATATCAGTTAGTTATCTGAATACAGATTTTGATTTTAAACTCGCGTTGGAATTTTAAAATTGTAATTCAAATGAAAAGCCATATTTGTATTGGGAAACAAGGTACATCATGATCCCCGTGTAATAGTTTCACGGGGTCACTATTGCCTTGATCTCATCTCAGACCCCGAGGTGCGTTCTACAACTGTGTGGGGACGTACTACCTTGCGTGAATGCTACAAATAAGTTGATACACCTTAATTTACCGTTATATATATGAACGCCTGCCCCGTTCATTCCTTTAAAGCCATGTCCCTAATACCAAAAATGGGTCTTTTGCACGAGACTCATTATGTTTCTGTTGCAATCCAACATGAACATCTTCCTCGTACTTGATGTATAATTCTCTCAATGGACGAAGGAGTAGTTACGACACGACACATGGTCCGCCACTCGTGCCGGGTTTCGGACCGCTGCCTTTTTCTGGACTGGTAACCATCACAACGGTCTCGAACACCTCCTTAAGTCCAATCTGGTTCAAAGCAGAACATTCCACGTATGTTTTCGCACCGAATGTTTTTGCACATTTAATTCCTTCTTGAATAGATATTACTTTTTGGTCCTTTTCTTTTAATCTTTTTTTTACAGTTTCGTCCTCTCGGAGGTCTGTCTTTGTGCCGACCAACACGAAGGTGGCCTTTGGGGCCAGGATTTTGATTTCCGAAAGCCAGTTCTGTTTTACATTAGTGAGTGTGTCGGGTTCCGTCACACTAAAACACACCAGGAATATGTCTGTCCCTACAGTAAACAGTTCGCGGATCCGACGGTACTCATCCTGTGATAATATCAAACACCAAATATTAGCTTTGCTGGGAGTTATTTAACACAGACTATTACCTAGATAGTTTAAATTGTGTTACTGGCTGGAATAGTTTCATTTCATTCGTTATTATATAAAAAAATAAAAAAATATTTCGCCTATGGTGAACTATGACATTTCTTTTACTAATCCGATGTCAGACCAATACTCACTGATCCGATGCCACACCGATACTTACTGATCCGATGTCAGACCGACACTTACTGATCCGATGTCAGACCGATACTCACTGATCCGATGTCAGACCGATACTTATTGATCCGATGTCAGACCGACACTTGCTCATCCGATGTCAGATCAATATTCACTGATCCGATGTCAGACCGATACTTACTGATCCGATGGCAGACCGACACTTACTGATCCGATGTCAGACCGATACTTGCTGATCCGAAGTCAGACAGATACTCACTGATCCGATGTCAGACGGATACTCACTGATCCGATGTCAGACCGATACTTCCTGATCCGATGTCAGACCGACACTTGCTGATCCGATGTCAGACCGACACTTGCTGATCCGATGTCAGATCGATTTTCACTGATCCGATGTCAGACCGATACTTACTGATCCGATGGCAGACCGACACTTACTGATCCGATGTCAGACCGATACTCACTGATCCGATGTCAGACCGACACTTACTGATCCGATGTCAGACCGACACTTGCTGATCCGAAGTCAGACAGATACTCACTGATCCGATGTCAGACCGATACTCACTGATCCGATACTCACTGATCCGATGTCAGACATATACTCACTGATCCGATGTCAGACCGATACTCAATGATCCGATGTCAGACCGATACTCACTGATCCGACGTCAGACCGTCACTTGCTGATCCGAGGTCAGATCGATACTTACTGATCCGATGTCAGACCGATACTTACCGATCCGATGTCAGCCCGTCACTTGCTGATCCGATGTCAGATCGATACTTACTGATCCGATGTCAGACCGATACTTACTGATCCGACGTCAGACCGATGTCAGACCGACACTTGCTGATCCGATGTCAGACAGATACTTACTGATCCGATGTCAGACCGATACTCACTGATCCGATGCCAGACCGATACTCACGGATCCGTTGTGAGACAGATACTTACTGATCCGATGTCAGACCGATATTCACTGATCCGATGATACTCACTGATCCGATGTCAGACCGATACTTACCGATCCGATGTTAGACCTATACTCACTGATCCGATGTAAGACAGATACTCACTGATCCGATGTCAGACCGACACTTACTGATCAGATGTCAGACCGACACTTGCTGATCCGAAGTCAGACATATACTCACTGATCCGATGTCAGACCGATACTCAATGATCCGATGTCAGACCGATACTCACTGATCCGATACTCACTGATCCGATGTCAGACATATACTCACTGATCCGATGTCAGACCGATACTCACTGATCCGATGACAGACCGATACTTACTGATCCGATGTCATACCGACACTTGCTGATCCGATGTCAGACAGATACTCACTGATCCTATGTCAGACAGATACTCACTGATCCGATGTCAGACCGATACTCAATGATCCGATGTCAGACCGATACTCACTGATCCGTTGTCAGACCGATACTCACTGATCCGATGTCAGAACGATGCTCACTGATCCGATGTCAGACCGATACTCACTGATCCTATGTCAGACAGATACTTACTGATCCGATGTCAGATCGATACTCACTGATCCGATGTCAGACCGTCACTTGCTGATCCGAGGTCAGATCGATACTTACTGATCCGATGTCAGACCGATACTTACTGATCTGATGTCAGACCGCCACTTGCTAATCCGATGTCAGACCGATACTCACTGATCCGATACTCACTGATCCGATGTCAGACATATACTCACTGATCCGATGTCAGACCGATACTTACCGATCCGATGTCAGCCCGTCACTTGCTGATCCGATGTCAGATCGATACTTACTGATCCGATGTCAGACCGATACTTACTGATCTGATGTCAGACCGACACTTGCGAATCCGATGTCAGACCGATACTCACTGATCCGATACTCACTGATCCGATGTCAGACATATACTCACTGATCCGATGTCAGACCGATACTTATTGATCCGATGTCAGACCGACACTTACTGATCCGATGTCAGGCCGACACTTGCTGATCCGAAGTCAGACAGATACTCACTGATCCGATGTCAGACGGATACTCACTGATCCGATGTCAGACCGATACTCACTGATCCGATGTCAGACCGTCACTTGCTGATCCGAGGTCAGATCGATACTTACTGATCCGATGTCAGACCGATACTTACCGATCCGATGTCAGCCCGTCACTTGCTGATCCGATGTCAGATCGATACTTACTGATCCGATGTCAGACCGACACTTGCTAATCCGATGTCAGACCGATACTCACTGATCCGATGTCAGAACGATACTCACTGATCCGATGTCAGACCGATACTTACTGATCCGATGTCAGACCGTCACTTGCTGATCCGATGTCAGATCGATACTTACTGATCCGATGTCAGACCGATACTTACTGATCCGATGTCAGACCGATACTCACCGATCCGATGTTAGACCGATACTTACTGATCCGATGTCAGACAGATACTCACTGATCCGATATCAGACCGACACTTGCTGATCCGATGTCAGACCGATACTCACTGATCCGATGTCAGACCGATACTCACTGATCCTTTGTCAGACAGATACTTACTGATCCGATGTCAGACCGATATTCACTGATCCGATGTCAGACCGATACTCACTGATCCGATACTCACTGATCCGATGTCAGACATATACTCACTGATCCGATGTCAGACCGATACTTACTGATCCGATGTCAGATCGATACTTACTGATCCGATGTCAGATCGATACTTTCAGATCCGATGTCAGCAGACCGATACTTACTGATCTGATGTCAGATCGATACTAACAGATCCGATGGCAGCCCGATACTTACTGACCCGATGGCAGCAGACCGATACTTACTAATCTGATGTCAGACCGATCCTTACTGATCCGATGTCAGACCGATTCTTATTGATCCGATGTCAGACCGTCACTTGCTGATCCGATGTCAGATCGATACTTACAGATCCGATGTCAGCAGACCGATACTTACTGATCAGATGGCAGCCCGATTCTCACTGATCCGATGTCAACAGATCGATGCTTACAGATCCGATATCAGACGGATTCTTTCTCACCTGATGCCAGATCGATACTTACCGATCCAATGGTGTCTGTGAGACCGATGCTGTATTTACAGCCGTTGAATTGCATCTCTACAGGGACTTCAAATGAGGTTGATCGACCAGCTGTTGAAGAAACATAAAAAATGATAAATAATATATTTTCAGACCATTGTTGGTATACATACGCTGAAAATGGAGACAAAAACACGCAGAAACACCGAAACCATGATTTCATTACGTTGTTCCTCGCAACAGCTAAGGGCATAGTTTAAATGTCATATCTCACTGAAGTTTCATAACCTGGACACGGCAGCGTGGCACACCATCCCGTCCGATTATTCTGACAACGGACTAACTAGAGATGTCTATAAGGAGATACAGCCTATAAAGCGATTGGCAGAAATAAAACAAATAAGACCCAAATTCAATATAACCCCGCTTCGCATAATAGTCACTCTCCGGAAATCATATCACTTTCCCTGAGCAATGTGAGTTTCCATGGATTGGCGCTGTCTTCCAGACATAGGATGCCATTACCCAGAACAAGTATCCTTAAATGAGTGTCATATGTATCGTCGTAAAAAGGGAATGTACACTGTTTTTCATAAAGATGTATTGTATACCATGCAAGTCAGTATATTTTGTATCATAAGGTCATAAAGTGTCATACATATTGCAAGTCATGTTCAAAACATCTCATATACATTGTATTTCGTGAAAGTTTCATATATATTTTATTTCATGAAAGTTTCATATACACTGTATTTCATGAAAGTCTCATATACGTTGTATTTCTTGAAAGTCTCATATACGTTGTATTTCATGAAAGTCTCATATACGTTGTATTTCTTGAAAGTCTCATATACATTGCATTTCATGAAAGTTTCATATACATTGTCATAAAAGCGTCATATATTGTGCATGTCATGTCTCATACATTGTGTCATTAAGGTATCATGTACAGTGTCATAAGTGTCATATATTTTGTGTTTCATGCAAGTTGTATGTACATAAAGTGTAATATTTATTGTATATCAAAATGTTATTTATTGTGCCATGCAAGTCTCATATATATTGTGTATCATACAATGTCATACATCGGATGTAACTAAGTGTGGCTACATTGCTCGCTTCGTTTAGACAATAGATGAATTTTGCGTTCACCAAATATTGCCAGACTACCCGGATTCTCAACGACAACAAACCTCACAAGCCATAAAATATACAAAATAGCATGTCTACCGTGTGATGCCTCACTCGTTCAAACGACATTTAGAATTTAAAACGCATTCATTTCCTTCTGAAATTGCAATAATTTTATATTAATAAAAGAAAATGACAACACCATATACTAGGCAGTATACCGCATTTAAAGTTCAATTTCCACTAGGCCGTCATACAATGCATTTTAATCGGTTTGTTTTAGTAAGGGAAAGGGGTCGTAAATACACATTTCATAACTGGTGATTAAGTCACCTTTACCCTATTGGTCCAGAGGTTGTATGAGTAATCTCGGTACACTATATATTTATACTTAAATTGTACCGTTACGTTACGTATATATACATTAATTTTACACATATGCATATGAATCACAGTGGGCGTATTAAGAGGAGCACTTGCGATCATGACTCCTTTTCAATTCGAAAGATTATTATTTCTATTTAACAGTTTAAAAACACACTGGAGTTTCTATTTATCAACCTTTATGTTTATTACAGATTTATATATAGAACAGCTTTCAATGTTGAAAATGAACACCTGTTGAAACGAGTTTTTTATTTTTACTTTAACACAATTGACTTTAAAATATATGCAACAGGATTTGGGCATTTTCCAATTTATATATCAAACTATTTTCCAACAACATTTTATAACATACATAAACATGATTGCGATTATGTTAAACACGTAAATAACACTGGAGTTGGAGAATGAGAGTTGGAGCGTGTGGGAGAGAGAGAGAGAGAGTTGGGCAGAGGGAGAAGTGCGGAGGAAAGAAGGAGAACAGTTCATTTATTTGTAACATATTATATGTGTATAATGGTAAAATATGTACGAGATCGCATGGGTGATCTTTCCCAGAACATGACAGCGTTAGTGTTATAGCTGTTCACTACTCCGAACACTCGTGTGATCAAATCTGCATCACTTCCCGTAACACAATTGCTGTATAATGGAGATAAGGTCCGGATAAGGAAGGACGGAGAGAACGGGAACGCCGTTCGTGCGGTTATGATCGAGAAGGGAAAGTTTGATAAAATATATTAGATAATTGATAACAGTAATCCAGCATTGACTGATAGTGACCAGGAAAAACAACACTAGCCGTATGTTTTCTAATTCATTATCAATGAAGCCCACGAGGTTTTAACAGAATGTACACCTCGTCATAACACGTTAAATGTAAGCATAACAACTAGCCACTTAAGTTGACTATATAAGTAGTACAGTAGAAAATAAGGATTGCGAGTGGGTGTTGTTTTAGCGAGAATCTGTTGAGGAAGTTACTGTCGGTAGATAGTACGTGTGTATATGATTACACAAGCTGTGTTAGATACGTGCCCTTATATGCCCCAATTTTACGTGCTTATCTTCTCGTCACTGCTTTGTAGTTCTTAAAGAAAAGAACAGAAAGGGTAAAAAGCAGATTTATTTGTTAAAACACACCCAGATTTACAAAACACAAACAATAAACAAAGTAACTAACATTAAAACCCATTCATCCACTATCATTAACATTAAAACCCATTGATCTACTAACATTTACATCTAAACCCATTGATCCACTAACATTTACATCTAAACCCATTGATCTACTAACATTAACATCTAAACCCATTGATCCACTAACATTTACATCTAAACCCATCGATCCACTAACATTTACATCTAAACCCATTGATCCACTAACATATATATCTAAACCCATTGATCCACTAACATTTACATCTTAACCCATTGATCCACTAACATTTACATCTAAACCCATTGATCCACTAACATTTACATCTAAACCCATTGATCCACTAACATTTACATCTAAACCCATTGATCCACTAACATTTACATCTAAACCCATTGATCCACTAACATTTACATCTAAACCCATTGATCCACTAACATTTACATCTAAACCCATTGATCCACTAACATTTACATCTAAACCCATTGATCCACTAACATTTACATCTAAACCCATTGATCCACTAACATTTACATCTAAACCCATTGATCCACTAACATTTACATCTAAACCCATTGATCCACTAACATTTACATCTAAACCCATTGATCCACTAACATTTACATCTAAACCCATTGATCCACTAACATTTACATCTAAACCCATTGATCCACTAACATTTACATCTAAACCCATTGATCCACTAACATTTACATCTAAACCCATTGATCTACTAACATTAACATCTAAACCCATTGATCCACTAACATTTACATCTAAACCCATTGACCCACTAACATTTACATCTAAACCAATTGATCCACTAACATTACCATCAAAACCCATCGATCCACTAACATTTACATCAAAACCCATTGATCCACTAACATTTACATCTACACCCATTGATCCACTAACATGTACATCTAAACCCATTGATCCACTAACATTACCATCTAAACCCATTGATCCACTAACATTTACATCAAAACCCATTGATCCACTAACATTAACATCAAAACCCATTGATCCACTATCATATACATCTAAACCCATTGATCCACTAACATTTACATCTAAACCCATTGATCCACTAGCATTAACATCTAAACCCATTGATCCACTAACATTACCATCAAAACCCATTGACCCACTAACATTAACATCAAAACCCATTGATCCACTAACATTTACATCTAAACCCATTGATCCACTAACATTACCATCAAAACCCATTGATCCACTAACATTAACATCAAAACCCATTGATCCACTGACATTAACATCAAAACCCATTGATCCACTAACATTTACATCTAAACCCATTGATCCACTAACATTAACATCTAAACCCATTGATCCACTATCATTACCATTTAAACCCATTGATCCACTAACATTACCATCAAAACCCATTGATCCACTGACATTAACATCAAAACCCATCGATCCACTAACATTTATCTACTAATTGCATTTATCAACTGGTAGTGCCATCGTCATTATTAACAGGACGATGAATGTTCTTGATTAGTCCTATATTATGATTATAAAGAATGGACATATCCTCAGCTACATGTCAATGGCAAATGGTTCGAGGACAACGGAAGGTACTGATGCTGGTATCAACAGAAAGCATCCCTTCACAGTTGAAAGTGAAAGTAATCAAAACAAAAGCGATGCGTTCTTCCTAAAACACGGACACTGCGCAACAAAAAATACGCAAAGAGGCAATAACAGTGCCCATACACAGAAGACAACGAGACTGCTCTCAAATGAAGACCATTCCCACGCGCTCAAGATCAGGTTATCAGAAGGCAAAAAACAGCCAACACAATCTAACACAATGGCAGAATTTTCTCTTGCAGACAATGACAATGACTTCTATTGAAGACAACGATAGTTCTTTCTTCTGAAGACAAAGCCATTGTTTTCTCCTGACAGTGATTTATACTGGAGATGATGAGAATAATTTCTAAAACAATGGTAGCGATTTCAACAGACAACAACATTTCGTGTCAGTGCTCTCAACAAAAGTCAATGACAATAACTTTAACAGAGGATAACGATAGTGATTTCAGCAGTAGTTAATGGCAATGCTCTCAACAAGAGTAAATGACAATAATTCTAACAGAGGATAACGATAGTGATTTCAGCAGTAGTTAATGGCAATGCTCTCAACAAGAGTCAATGATAATAACTTTAACAGAGGATAACGATAGTAATTTCAGCAGTAGTTAATGGCAATGCTCTAACAGAGGTCAAGGAAAGCGATTCCAGCAGTAGTAAATGGCAATGCTCTCAACAAGAGTCAATGATAATAACTTTAACAGAGGATAACGATAGTAATTTCAGCAGTAGTTAATGGCAATGCTCTAACAGAGGTCAAGGAAAGCGATTCCAGCAGTAGTAAATGGCAATGCTCTCAACAAGAGTC